TGGACTCAGGCCTGCCTGCAGCCAGGGAGTCTGCTGGGGCCGTGGGCAGGATGGCTGTGCCGTGGTGCTGCGGTCAAGGTCAGCGTCCCACCTGGCCTCGCTGGCGGGCAAGTGTCGTGGTGTGCGGCCTGAAGGTGCTGCAGCCTATAAGCCTGTTTGACTTGGGTCACTTGCTAACTGCTGTATGTCATGAGAGGTTTAACATCCCTGATTAAGTTGTGAGTCACTTCTTAACAAGAGAGAATTGTTTTCAAACCCTGCTTTATAGGTAAAATCTGAAAATGGGGGGGCAGGTTTGGCTGGAGGGAAGCAGCCAGCCCAACCTGCCCCCGTCCTGCACTTTGTTGGTAAAGGATTGTGGCTGCAGGGGGGGCTTCTGGAGCATTATTATTGTTCTGTAACCTGAGTGATAATGAGGGAAATACATTGGTCACAATTTTATTTTCCCCTCTGTCTTGAAGTACAAACTGTAACCTGGCACCTGAGAGAAAAGTTGTTTCTGTGAATGTTTTGCTTTCTTAACTTTTTCCTCTGAGGATGAAAACCTCTTTCTCCTATTTTTTTTTAATGAATTTTTGAGTGAGAATAGAAAAAAAACAAGATCTGGTACTTCTACCTAAAAAGGAAAGGGCTTTCTGCTTTTAATATTTTTATTTTAGATCTCCCTTACAGATAATTTTTAAAAGGGCACAGACATGTATTGTCTCAATGCACTTAGTTCAATGAACACTTTAAGGAGATTGTTCCTTGAAAAAGCTGTCTTTATTCTTTGTTTCAGATAAACCAAGGAGTCGATATGCTGTAAATAGCTCTGGTGACACCACGGAAGATCAAGATGGGGACTCCAGGTAGGGGAAAACATTTCTCCTTGCCTAAGAGTTTGAAACAGAGGAGAGATGGCCCTTTGGTGTCTTGCCTGCTAGTTCAGAAGGCAAATTCTCTCGGACTGTATAGAAGACAACCTGCCAAGAAATGCTTTAGTGCCAAGTTATGAGCAAATTAGTGCTTAGTAATGAGGAATTTCTTATGAGGGAATGCTGCTGAATCTGTTTTCTGGGCAAGATATAGGTCAGGTATTTTGTGCTCGTTAGAAAGGCAGTATTACTCTTTCAAACCTAGGAGTATTAATACTTTGGCAAAAGTCCACTTTTCTTTACCTGCCTACCTCTAACTGGATATATTATTCAGTTGCCTCAAGTTCTTCCCTAGCTCGTGTAATTGTCATATGGAATTGCTGTGCACTAATGAATAACTAATTTTGTTTCTCCAGATATAGCTGCCCTTGTGTCTGTGGAGTGAAATAGTAGCTCAAAAGGATACTGTGACTTAAAGATAGTTTTTTCAATTACAGGAAATCAGTCAGTGGGTAACGAACACACTGAAAATACACAGTGTGTTGTTCAGCATGCATGTACGTATGAATGGACTCTCTAATTAGTTTTTGTCAAAGAAATCTGCTGCATGGTTCTAAATTTATCACTACAGATATGAGACACATCTGGGAAAGAAAAAGGGGTTTTGTCTGTTGGCCTATAGTTCAGTTGCAGATCTTTTTTGTGACATGTATTTTAATCTCCAGTGTTAATAAAACAGGGTAGTTGCTGCTCCTCTCTCATATAAAACTAAAAAAGAAGTACTCGTCACTTGCCCCAAGAAAAGAAATTTAGATCCTAACCTTGCAAAATGTAAGCTTGTTCTTAACTTTGTGACTGAGAATGATGTACTGTCATGGGTGATTTTACTTTCAGCTAAACCAAATTCATATGTTTTTCTAGGACTGGGATCTTAGGAAAACATTTTGCTTGAGGTCATTGTATCTCTTGCCTCTTTTGGTATCTCTGAAACCTTCAAATGCAGCATTCAGTGGCATCTCCAGTGAGCACAGTACGGTACAGGGCACAACTCCAGCGCAAGCGAGCTGTGGTTTTGTCAGTTTGGGAATCGGTGAATGGCATTTCAGACTGTGCTGTGGACGGCAGCTAGTATGCATGTTAGGAAGGCTCAGTGCACACGTTTGCTGGTTATCTCAGGGATTTTGTTGGTTGCTGTTCAAAACCCTGGCTCTAGTATTTCCCTAGATAGATTAAGACAGTGTTGGAATGGTACCAGCTTCTGCCTGATACTGATTCTTGTTGCCTCTGTCATTTCAGCAGGTTGGACAAAGCACTAAATACGGAGCTGCATTCGCTGGATGTTGCCTGAGGTGCTGAATTAGTGTGATGCAGAACGTGGCTACTACAGTGATGTAGGAAAAGCTTTTATAATTTCAAATTATGGTCAGATGAGAAAAGTGCTAGTATTTTCCTGAAACTGGTTTTAAGTAGATTGAATGTGCTGGCCTGTAACCTACATTAAACAAAGATTTAGGTTATTTCATTGTAGTGGTGTCCAGAACTCTGGGCTTGAAAGTTAGTGCCTAATCTCCTGGTCAGTTACTTGTTATTAAGCTTTTAGTGTTTAAAAGAATTTATGATCTTTCAACTGAGCTCACTAAGTGCAAAGTATCACAGTTCTGAAGCACTGAATGAAAGAATATTAAGATAGAAATCTGCCTCTGCAGTGATGGTCAGGTATCAAGGTGCAGCATGCTGCTTGTGCTGCTTACGTGGCTAGGCATCGGCATTCAGAAATTCATAGTCTCTTTCAAAATTGCGTTTGTTTCAAGTTTGTTTATTGAAAAGCTTTTTCCCCAATACCAGTGTAACCAGTGTTATAAGTCTGCTGCATCCCATACCACTGATGTAGCAGCTAAACGTATCCTTCTCTTCAGTAATAGCGGCTAGTAGAAGAATCACTGATGCTCTTTATACACTAAGTACTGTTCATTTATATTAGGCAAGAGGAAGTTTGTTGGTAGAGTTAATATCTTTCACTGGACTTACTGATACAGGTGGAAAACACGCAAGTTTTAGGTACACAGGCCCTTCTTCCAGCACAAAACAAAAAGGGATCTTCAAAACTACGTACAACAGGCTGCTCAGACTTGTGATTTGTATCAGACCATTTTGAGATTAACAGAGGTTGGTGCCTGTGGTGCAGAAGAGATTCTAAAGGGAGAATGGAGGCAGAAAGCTGCAGATGTCTTGGAGAGAGTGAGATGCATATGCTTTGTAAACTAGGAAATTATCATGTGCAGTAAAACCAGTATTGTCATTGAGCCTATGGGTTTGTTTTCTTCACCCATGTTATGAATTTTTGCTCCCAGGCTCCTGTTTGGAATGTGTTTTGTGTGTACCCATTGAAGATCGGGCTGGAGAGACCAGAAACAGAGTGACTGGTTTTATGAGAGCCATTCCCCCAGTGGCAGCTCTGTCCCTGTAAGTTCGTTCCTCTGCAGTGCAGTGGTGCAGCAGTTCCCTTCCTGCAACACTCGGTTCAGTAGTCCACGGAGAGATTTTATCAGCATAAAGCCCAGCCTGTTTTCTGGTGGTGGTGACTTCCTGATTGGAGTTGTTCTCGATGCAAGTAACTTATGAAGTGGTTTTGTATTATTTCTGGATGGCCTCTTCAAGGAAGAGTTGGCAAAAAGATTCCCTTAAATCACTGCATATCAGTAGCACCTGTAGATGTTTTTGGTGGCACAAATTGAGGCTTTGGAGCAGGCAGACTGCTAGGTTGAGTTGATGGTGTATGCCAGATTTGATAATGTTGAAGGGTTGGGTCTTTCAAATGTTTTCATGTTCAGTTGCAAAGGTTATTTCAGATTTACCTTGTTGCTGCAATAGTTCTTATGAGGGTTGGATCCATCCTTTTTTATAGTGAAGGGCTGTCTTTAATTTCCTAGCAATCTAGCACCAGTTGTATCCTAGATAAGGATTACTTTTTTTCCTCAGCTATTGGAACCCAAGATTGATTACTTTTGAGCTGACCTTTCCTGGAGCACTTGAGATGTATGTATTTCCTTATGCCCTCAGAAAGGACAAAATTAGATCAGTTTAGGTGCCTTAACTCTCCATTTCCATAGAGCATATTTGTACACATAATTGGATTTCTTTTAGACTCAAATTTCCTGGTCGTTGTTACGCTTTTTTGGGTTTTATAGACAATTGCAGCCCATTCGTGATAATCCTACCTCTAGGCTACTGGTGTGTATTTGCTTGTATTCATTTCTGCTCAATGGAGCTGTGTGTTTGGGTCATCAGGATATAGATTTTTCTTCTGTTTAAAAGCAAGTCAAGCAGCAAAAGTGATTGAGGTGTGTTGATGGTGGCCGTGCAACAAAAAGGTATTCAGAAGAATCTGTCACTGTCAAACTGCATGTCAAGTGTGTCTTCTTGTTGGCTTCTTCTCAGCCTTTCATTTGCCCTCTTCAAAAACATCCTTCAGTTCTTGAGTGCTTTAGCAGTAATACATTCCCCTCACAGCTTATGGAGATACCTGCAAGTCTCTTTTTTTTTTTTTTTTTCCTCCCCTGAAAAAATGTGAGGCAAATACTCTTTTGAAGCTATAAGATAATGCTTTGTTAACTTGGTTTGAAATGTTTTTTTTGTAGTTCTTCTGAAGGTGAAGTCAGCAAGCAAAAATTCTAACGAAGATGCATATAGTAAAATATGTTACACCAGTCTTTGCATTTTTTAGTAGCATAACTGACTAACTGAAGGAGGTTTAGCAAATTTGACGGCATTGATGTCATTAATTGGCCAAACACTTCTGTTATAAAAAGAAAAAAAGTCAAGTTACTGACAAACAAGGACTTGAATGTCCCTTTCTAACAAACAGTAGTTCTCCTGTGATAACATTTCTGTATCCTCTGTCCCTCTTTCACTGAACTCCAGTGTTCTTCCTTGTATTTGTTCTGAAAGGCTTCCTTTCTGTAGGCCCGTGCTTTTCCATTCATCCATCCATCCCTTTAAACACCCTTCCTGTAAGATCACCCCCTTTGTATAGTTTGTCATTTGGAATTGGTTTAGGTTCCCTTTTCAACATGACCAGTAGAAATCTGCTGTCTTTTGGATTAAATAATTGTTGGAAGTCTTAATTTTCTCTCCCCTCTCTAAAGGGGACAGTATAATCCTTTTATCAGATTAATTTTTCAGTATATTTAGGAAATTTGTTTCAGGAAACAAGTCCTTCTTTTCCCCCCATTATTTGGAAAAAAACCCCAACAGTTGACTGTTAAAATGAAACTAGGTGTTTCTTTCCCTGATAGAAAAGTGAGTACAGCTGTTAACAGAGCCTTGCTCTGTACACCTGTTGTAAAGAAGGTGTTCAGGTTCTTTGCCTTAAAATCATTTTCAACCTACTCGTCCTAAGTTTCTGCTTATTGCCTGGGGCAGAGACAGACAGAGAATGACTTCATGCTTGTGCTGTGAGTCTGGCCAGACTTGTCCCTATTGTTTAGGTCCCTGGGGTGAGCAGCAGCGGCTCTGTGTGCAAGGCCCTTTACAGAACCCTGGCTGTGCCAGCAACAATAAGTGTTTGGCATCCTCTTTTTCTAAGTCTTGGGGGTATGGAAGTACCAGAACCAATTATGAAGAGCTGGGGGTCATTTGAGGCTGCATGGGATGTTCCTTGCATGGAAACACTAGTAATAGTCTGAAAAAGAAACCGAAGTTTTAGGATCTGCTCTAAATCAGACTGCAACCTCTGCTATTTTCTTGTAAGGTAAGCATGAATTAAAAAGTACCATGTAAATACAGCTCCACAAATGCAACGTGTTGTGGGAACACATTACAGCAGCCAGCGCTAGTGAGAGGACTACAGTACCTTAGCCTGTTTTCTCCGTGTTGTCGATCTAAACCTGCAGTATATCCCAGGAACTCACCTACTGTTAACTTTTGACTCTTCTCAATAGTTGTATTTCCTTTACAGGCGTTTAACCCTTAATATTTCATCCTAGTTTTTAATATTCTCTTTTTTTAATATTTTGTGTACTTGCCTCGTTTATTTTCTTGTGTTTTTTGTTTTGTGTTTATGGCCATGTTCCCATTTCAGAGACCAATGTCCTCTAACTGATGAGCAATTGGTTTCGGGGTAAGACCAAATGTTCTAAACAATCACCTTTGTCTAGAATGGCTTTATTTTCTCACCATCCTTTTAATTGTGCTTTGTTTCTGGTTTCTGTTTTACATCGAATTATGAGATAATATATGCTAAATCCACAATGTCTGTAGGAAATGTATTGCTAGGATAATTACAGAGGTCCTACTAACATTTCTGTGCTTCCTGTAGGGTATCCAGAATGGGTGTGGTACTGTCCCTTCTGTGAATTGAGAAAAGTTGTGATCCTCTGAGAATGCAACAAGTATAGCCTTGGCATTGTAGTTATTCCAACAAGGAGCCCTAAACCAAATTGCTTTTTGATGAGCAATGACTTAAAAATACAGATCAGTGAGTAAACTGTTTAATCCCACAGTAATTATGGAGAGCTCTTCAGAGACCTGGTTTTGGGCAGCTGCTCTGGTTGCTCGTTCTTGGTGCCCCACTAAGCTAAATTGGCTGACTGCATTATACCCCCTTTTTGAATGTGTGGAGGGAACGGTGCTTATCTCTACCCAGGGCCCCAAAAGTATTAAACTGCATCTCTAGTCCCTGCTTAACATAAAGATGCTCACCTAGATACTGAGCTCCCATTCTAAACTACTTCCAAGAAGAATTCTTTATAAAAACCTTGCTTTAAATTCCTATGGCATATAAAAAATTGTTATCCGTTCTTGGGGAGAAATGAATTTGTGTTTGAGATCATTTCCCCCTCCTTTTCTGTGTGGTAAAGCCATTGATGTTTCAGCTGGGTTTCCAGAGGAGATGCTGGTGACAGCAGTCAATCTGCACTGGTGTGGTTTGTATTGAACTGCTGGATTGTCTGCTGTTGCTGCTATGTTGAGCTCGTGGTAGGAGTAGTAGGATATTTCTTGGGAGTCAAAGCTTTTGTTTTTTGTATTTAGTTTCTGCCTGCTGAATTCCTTAGTACAGGAAAGGTTTGCTTCCCTCTGGAAATCACAATGCTTAGGCTAATTTCATAAAAGAAGGGACTGTTACTGCCCAACTGTGAAACCTAATCTGCTTCTAACAAACTCTTGGGGTCTGATAAGTCAGTATTTTTAGGTCGTCTTAATACACCCCCAAGATTAGAAAATCAGTATTAAAATATCTAAAGTAAAAGTGTTATTTTTTAAGATGAGATGATGACTTGAAATGATGGGAATAATGTATTTGCTGTCCCTCATTCTTCCTATCATCCTGAGGCCTAAGAAATGTATAAATTATGTAGAGTGTTGGGGCAAAAAAACCCTAAACCAGCAAAACCAGTAAATCTAGGCTGTCAGACGAGGGAATGGAGCTGGTCACTCTTGGGAGAGAGAACCAGGTGTCTGTACCCATCAGGTAGCACCTGTATAACCCATCGCAGGGCTATCTTTCCTGAGCGTGTTCTCTGGCTGCAGTTGCAGTACTCTCCTAAAAAGAGAAGTCTCTACTAGTAAGAAGATACTGAGGACTTTACAGAATGAACCTTTTAATCTCCTCCTCCCCACAGAACCACATACAAGCTGGGGCAGACAGAGGGCTGTCAGTGTCATGAGCTCTCCTGGGGAACTGCTGGACTGTTACGTTCAGTACCACGTTTATCTGTTAAAAGATCTGCTGGTGTAATTCCTTGTAAAAATAAAACCGTAACAGTGGTGAAAGTCATCATAACGACCAGTTTTCCAGCTCCCAAGGTATCCTTTGCCAAGGCTAGGGGAGGGAAAAGTAACTCCTTTCTTATCAGTAAGCAGGCATTTTTCTACTTTAACCTCCTTCTCCCTCCGCCCCCTGAAACATATGCTCGTTTTGGATCAATGGCTATTGCAGCCTTCCTGGCTCCACGATGAGCCTATTAACGAACACAGCTGAATGGGGCAAAAACGGGGGGAAAAGCTCACTGCTGTCATGGTGACTTTTTTCCCCGTTTTGATTTTTCTAGTTTAACCTCCTTCTCCCTCCGCCCCCTGAAAATATGCTCATTTTGGATCAATGGCTATTGCAGCCTTCCTGGCTCCACGATGAGCCTATTAACGAACACAGCTGAATGGGGCAAAAACGGGGGGAAAAGCTCACTGCTGTCATGGTGACTTTTTTCCCCGTTTTGAATAATATGATCTCCAAGGACTGTCAGTCCAGCTCCTGTTTGAGGATGCTTTACCCTTTCCTCACAAACTCCATGGCTAGTCTCTCCATCTCTCTGCTTGCCCTTAGCTGTGTTCAGAGCAGAGCAGCCATGGATTTGGAAGTTTGTACAGAGCTGCTCCTTCCATAAGCCAAACATAAGGAGCGTGCTGTGGTCAGGATGACCTGTTTGTACAAACACCAGTGGCTCTGACAGCTCGTAAAGCCCCTGTGTTGTCCTGCATCTTCAGTGCATGTAGGTCTAATAAAATAAATGCCCCTTGGGTCATAGGCAGATGGATACACGCAAAAGACCTGGATGTGTGCATTTGTCTTAATTTCTGTAGTACTCCGTAACTCACTCAGAGTGAGCCAGGAATATGGTACATTAATTCCTTCTCTGGGCATCGAGGGCTCACTTGTGGCCGAGAGATAAGGTGAGCACAACACACACCCATGCCTGCCCTTGTCTCTGAGTGATACTGGGTTATCTGGGATACCTGCCTGGTGGAGGGGGATGGTCTGCCAGGGACACACATCCTTGAATGTAAATAAAGAAAATGAAATTAACATTTTCATTCTTTTAAAAAAAATAAAATGGTTTCATCAGAAACTGGTTTGAAATTCATTTGGTTAAATGGGAGCCTCCGAGAAATCAGATGAGGAAAGAACTTGCTAATATCAAACCTTGCACTGCTCCTATTCTAGAATAACGAGTTCCCTCCAGCAGCTAACTGAGGTCCTCTTCCCTGTGGATTTGAGCTCCACTGTCTCAGGGGATGCCCTGAGGAAAACAAGCGTTTGTAGAGACCAGCCCAATGTTGCAAGGCCATCAGAAAAAGCAGTTGCAGAATTCTTCCCTTGTCACCCTGGCTTATTATCTGTTTTTGCAGCAGTAGCTGTATTTTACAGGGCAGACTCCTTGTAGGTACTTGCCCTCCTGTCTCGCAGCTGCCTTCTTCCCACTGCTGATCCAGAGCAATCCAGTAACACCATGGTTGGTGTTGGGAAGGGCCTGCCCTGCCACCAATTTGTCTCAGTTCTGTTTCTCAAAGGAGAAAGCCCAGGCAGCTCTCAGAAGGGTGCCGGTGGTCTGTTGACTGCAGGTTGAGATCTGTTGAGTAACTTTGAATCTCACTGATGAGATTTGGGAAAGGAGGGACAAGCGTTGGATGTATGTTTCTTCTAATTGAATCAGCTCTTTCTTGCCTTCCCCTCTGCCATACCGGGTGGCTTAAAGATCTCTGTTGTGCTTGAGTGACAGGCTGTGTCAATATGTAGTTGCTTAGTAAGTTCATTAACCTGCAGCTAAATCCAGGCAATGGCTAACTTGAGCTGTTTTTATATTTAAGCGAACTGCATCTAATCTTTCCAATGTATTTTGCTGAGCATGTAATTAAATAAGCATGACCCTGCAGCCTTTGTCATGAATGCTTCCTGTTTTATAATTGTGATGATCTGAGAGATGTAATTAAGGGGTTCTTAATTTTCCATAATTGATGGTACTCCAGGTACGGCAATTTAGACACAATTTACAATAAAAAATTTAAAAACTCACAAGTTAAATATATCTGTATTTGGAGGAATATTCTGGGGGTATGCTTTTTAAAAATTGTAATAACTTCGATCTCTGCTCTTCAAGGTTTTCAGATGTCATCCTGGCAACAATTTTGGCTACCAAGTCAGATATGTGTGGGAAAAAGTTTGAACTGAAGATTGATAACGTTCGCTTTGTTGGCCATCCCACGTTGCTTCAGCATGCCCTCGGGCAGGTACGGTACAAGGTCCTCTCTGGGGACCTGCTGCCTTTTCAAACTGCCTGGCTTAGTTAGGAAACTTAGAATTTAGAACATGCATGTTTGCTTTTGGTCCTTTTTTATTTACCGATGCTCAAAGCTGTTTTTTACTTAACTTCCAGATAAATACAGTGCGTGGCAAACTGAGGGAGCTGTGTGAGTGATTCACAGAAACCTCCTCCTGCTTACTGTAGGAAAGCAATGTGGGTAAAGAGAAGTAAGACTAAGCAATCCAGCTCAAAAAGCTGTTTCTCACCATGTTAGTTATTGCAAGTTAGCTTTTTAGCACCTCTAATTAGTATGGCAGTTAAAAAAAATACATCGAAAACCTTCACAAATGCTACAAACTTACGTCAGCCTTGTTCTTAACTCTTTACTTTTAACTCTTACTGATGCTGAAGATGATTCATAAGGCTTGGTTGGAATAGGTGGGGTGTTGAAAGAAACTTATGTCAGCCTTGTTCCTAACTCTTTACTTTTAACTCTTACTGATGCTGAAGATGATTCATAAGGCTTGGTTGGAATAGGTGGGGTGTTGAAAGAGGTCTAAAATTTTCTTGTGGACAGTCAGACTTCTGTTTGTATTGAGACCTTGCTCTGTGGCTTGTGTTTTAGTTGCTTTGAATGAAAGCAGTTGCCACCTAGGCTATGGAAAAGGTCCTGCTTAAATCCAGGAGAGAATTTACATGTTTCTATGTGCAAAATATTCCCTATCCAATTCCTTCTTCCTGATAGACTGTAAGAATGAACTAGGCTTTGGTATCCAATACTGATCTCTGTCACTGAACTGCTTTGGTCTCATTTTTCATCAAATTTACTAAGTTGTTCATTTTTCAAGAAAAAAAAAACCCTGCTTGCCAATTCTGCCATCCTTTCTATCTATAATTAGAGGTGCAAACAGATTGTTGGCAACTGCTGCTTGATATTTAGAGGACCAGACTGCTTTAATCCAACTGAGGAGCTGGCCTCAACCATCAAAAGATGCTAGTGTTCCACTTTTGAAACTCAGTCGTGAGTCTACAAGAAATGTGATGGAGGATCACCCAGACTCAGTCCTCAAATGTTTAAGCTGTTTCGAAAGATGGAATCCAAGTGTCCCCAAGCTGTGCAAGTACATCAGCAGCCCCAGACAAGGCAAGTGATGAACCAGGTCCAGGGTCTGTACAGGGACCCCAGCCAGGAGCAAAAAGGAGCCAGGCCCAGAGACGGGGCTGGTGGAGAAGGCCGCAGTGTATTTAACAAGAGTCCATCCAGGAGACAAGCTACCTATGACAATGTAGGTCCAAGGTCCATCCAGGAGACAGAGCTGGAGACAGGCACACCTACAGGTCCTAGGCTGAGCTTAAATGGGGCTCCAGAGCTGAACTTAAATGGGGCTCCTGGGTCATGGGTGTGTGGGGGACCCAGCTGGGGCTGGTCAGGGCCCTATAGACCTGTCGGTGCCCTCGGGGCCCTGACATCGGTGGCCTGTTCTCTCACAGCATCAGATTCCTTTATTTTGCTAATCTTGTCTGAAAGGCACAACTTCCTAAATGTGCTGTAAATGAAGTTGAAAGCTTGTATTTGCATTTTTAACCACATCTTATACATTCTCTCCACTTTCCAGTCAGTTTTATCCTAATTGCATGAAATGTCTCTTCATTCTCCATTTGCCTAAAGAAAATTGCATCTGGGTAAATAAACAAAGTTATAAAGTGCTGTAAATGCTTTTTTTTGTTACTTCTTGTAGGATCTTCTTTTTGGGTGTGTCTTATCACCCCAGTAGGCACCCCAGAACTTTCTAGTGTCCAGAATCTTCTAGACGTGGTAGCCATCTCTGCTAGTTCATTTGAGTCTAAATTCAGGACCCTTTTCCAGTTAGGAGGAAGCTAGATGGAGCTCCTTTCCCATGGAGCAAAGGCAGTGACCGGAGTAACCTGACAGCCTCCAGTTTGGGTTTCTTCAGAGTTCATTCTGCAGTAAATTAATCCACGGGACAGCTCAGCAAATTCTTACTCGGATTCAGGAGTTACAAGAGCACGAATATTTAATCCTGTGTGCCAGACTGCCTTTTATGTAGCAATATTCTGAATTTTTCAAATTCTTTCAGCATTTTCCTTTCCAGCTTAGTCTTTTCTTCTTATTCCTGGACAAGAGGTGATATGAAATCTAGCCTGCATCCTGATTGATGTTAATGGTGGTAGTTTCTTTGATTTTAAGGGAGGAACAAGATCAGTCCCCACACTCAGAAATGCTTTTGAGTCTTTATTAACGTTCACAAGACATCCTGGAACCTGTAACTCCAGAACAACTCAACAGAGTAAATGGGTTTAACCACCCTCCCATCACTGTCTGTTTGATAGAACTTCACTTACACTTCAGAAAAAACTAAAAATATGTATCACTTCTTTTAGCTTCTCTAATTTTTAAGACTACTGAGTGAAAGCACTCAGATTTTGGCATTCACTGCTGAGCAGTTCGTTGCTGATGCTTGAGACCTGTCAGGAAGTGTGGATGCAGCTCTGCTTTTGCCAGCTTCTCTGCGTTTGCCCCATCTCAGATGCTGCATTAGTTACATATACTCCTGTGTTGGGTAGTTGGGTGTTGGGCCTGGCAGGTTATAGCTGTTTTCACTTGGGATTGGATGGGTGTTCAGC